GGCAGCTAAGGAGGCGGCCAACGTCACGTGCTTCGAGAGTACCACGGGACTCCCTCTGACTGAGTCCCTCGAGTCACTGGCTTCCCAGCTCCCTCCAACAACTGCCCCGGAACTTTTCCGGATCTGGCCCCCGTGGCCCAGGCCAAGGCAGTTTGCACTTGCCGCAGACGCTAGGACCCAGAGCAGGTAGGCCCTTCTTCCCTTTTTTTCGGGTTTAGGTTCCCTTATAAACCCCATTAACCCGAAAAGGGCCCTTGTAAACCCCATTAAACCAAAAAGGGCTCTTCTAAACCCCATTAAACCAAAAAGTGCACCCTTTTTTATTCCTAGGTTACTCCTGGGTCTAGGACAGTGACCGCATTGCCTTCGTCGTCGGCCGGGAAGAAAGTTATGGGCCCTTTGTGCTCTTCGCCTACGAGCTAGATCCTTGGGGACCAAACAAGAACCCTAGAAGGGTTTCTGGTGCATATCCCTTCATAGGGGTTAGAGTAGTATAGGGTATATACGACTCCAATTTTAACCCTAAACCCTAAACCGCAAACCCCAAACCCTAAACCCTAAACCCTGAACCCTAAACCCTAAACAATGTTAAGGTTCATGTTGGCCCCCCAGCTCCCGAAACTCAGGATACACCGAAGTTTCGGGAGCTGGGCCGCGTGGCGTTGATCAACGGCTTAGAGCCGACGGCGCTGCATGGCTTCGCAGATGGCCGCGTTGCTGGGAGTTGCAGCAGACCTCCGTTTTGTTGTTTTTTTTCTTAAGGGCCCCTAGACCCTGAGCATCCCTATGCCCAAAGCCTAAAGCCTAAGGCCGCAAGCCATAAGCCCTAAGCCCTAAACCCTAAACCCGAAACCCGAAACCCTAAACCCTAAACCCTAAACCCTAAACCCTAAACCCTAAACCCTAAACCCTAAACCCTACACTTAGGTTTTGGTCGGCTTCCAGGAAGCCCGGGTCGACTACGTCGACCTGCAGGATGGCACTCAGGAGGTGTCTCTGGGTTTTGTTGGGATGAGAACGATTAGTTTGGGGGTTTAGGGTTTAAGGTTTGGGGTTTGGGGTTTAGGGTTTAGGGTTTGGGGTTTGGGGTTCGGGGTTCGGGGTTCGGGTTTGGGGTTTGGGGTTTCATACTAATCTCTTTCGGCTCCCCCGTACACTGTACTCCTCACAAAGTATTGGACCGTCTTGGATATCTGGATTTATTGTCTAGCCTTCCTTCAACAGCATTGCAGGTGTTGCATGATTCAGTTGGCCGCGGGCAGGGGAAGGCCATTGATGCCTTTGCGTGGAACGGTGCAAACCTTTTGGTTGCCGTGGATGACTTTCTGACGCCCAAGTGGATGGTCAGTCTTGATCTGTCTGTCGGGCGAAGGCCAGCCGTGCTGGGTAGAGTGGGCCTACCAAGTGGTGTCAATGAAGAGATATTGGATGCGCTGTTCCTTGGTGCCCAATCCTTAGTATCTCGGTAGCTAAGTGAGTACACTTTACGCCTGTTGGGATACTATGACTCCCTGTAAAACTGAAAGTGTACACTTTTTGGGGGGCTTAAACCCTAAACCCTAAACCCTAAACCCTAAACCCTCAACCCTAAACCCTATACCCTATACCCTATACCCTATACCCTAAACCCTAAACCCTAAACCCCAAACCCCGGGGGGGGGGGGGGGCTTTATGAACTCAGCAACCAAGGTATTGTTGACGAGGTTTGAGCATAGGGTATACCCTTTGGTTCTGAAATGGGTCCAGAAGAAAGGATCCTACCCCTCAGAAACAGGGGAATCAGGGTGAGAGATTGCTTGGCCTTATAGACGCTCTTCTAACCCGAGGCCTTCCTTACAACAGCTGAGTCTCCCCCCCACGGGTTTGGGTAAAGACAAGCTGCTTTTGGGCTTCGGGCTTACGCAACCTCAGGAAACAGAACCATGTCCGAACTTTACAGGTTGAAGTTGGGATGTTCCCTCTTCTACTGACAGCTCCTTAGTAGGGCTTCGTACCCCCGATGTTCTTCCCTAAGGACTGTCAGGAAAAGGAGGAACATCTCAAGGTTGAAGCAAGGTCTGAGAATACAGCGGATGCAACATTAGAGCCTCTGGTGCGGTGCTCAATGCTTGCAAAGTGCAGCAGATGCCCAGATGGGCATTTTCCCAAAGTAGGAAAGCGCGATAATCCTGATTATTGCAACACCGAAAAAAAGAAGCGGCGCCCCCACTTGTCGGAAAGCCTCCGCAAATAGTTAAACCACCGGTGCTGAACCGCCGAGCTCCGACAGGAGCCCCTAAACCCTAAGCCCTAAGCCCTATGGCAGGCCAGGGATCTGCCTTGTCCTTCATGTCTCTGGACGAAAGCGGGCTTAACTTCACCCAGGTGTCTGGCATTGAGTTCATGGAATGGGAAGCAGAGGAAGGAACCACGTGGGTTGGGCGTTTTTCTCAGCTGCTCAAGCTGGAGAAGAGCTTGCATGACGAGATTGTTATTGCTGCAGCAGAGCGTGGGCTGGTGATTATTCCAAACGAGACGCAGCGGGCGTGCTTCAACATCACAGACCGTGATCTGCTGGGAAAGAAGTTGACGAGCGGAGCGAGGCTTGTCAGGACCGCATTCCCTGCCATAAATGTTTGCTGCCGTCAGAACGTGAATGTCGTCTTGCAGGTTCAGGTGGCGACCGAGCATGAGGAGCATCCTACCCCGAATCGTTACCATGTATCAGTCTATAATAGCCAATGGGCGGAGCTGCACACTTTTTCTTGGCCTTTCCTCTCGTCAGATGGGCAGCAGCAAGATTCTTGATTGACCCTGGCCATGCGCTCGAACGATGCCTCTCTGGTTGCGATACCGAGTATCTGCAAACACATGGTTGCAGCTATCGGAGTACGACCTTGTGAGCCGTCAGTGGTCACATCATGCTCTGGCAGTGTGTTAGGCATATAATCATAGCTGTGATTTTGCGACCGGGTTACAGTAACTACTGCTTCTACTGTTGCTATGACCAGTAATCATTGCACCCACTGCTGTGTTTGCCTGCGGCGGTTTGCTTCTTATTCCAAACGGTTTAGGGTTTAGGGTGCGTATAGGGTTTAGGGTTTAGGGTTTAGGGTTTAGGGTTTAGGGTTATACATGGAGGGTTTGAGGGGGTGGGGGGGGGGGGGGGGGGGGCAGAATTCTCTAGAGTCTCTCTCACAACTTTCCACGCAATCCCGTGGAAGCGCCTCATTGGCCCTCCTTGCAGAGCCCCGGGTTTCGGATACAGGGTTTAGGGTTTAGGGTTTAGGGTTTAGAGCTTAGGGTTTAGAGTTTATTGCTAAACCCGAAACCCAGAAGGGTTTGGAGCTCAGGGTTTCGGATATGCGGTTCAGGCTTCAGCGTCATGAGCAATGGTCCAAGCTGGCTGGGGGGAGCCCGAAAAGGGCTGAACCGTGAAACTCAGCGCTTCGAGGTGCGACGTCTCGCAAAAGAAACCCTCTAAGCCTAAACCCTAGACCCTAAACCCTACACCCTAAACCCTAAACCCTAAACCCTAAACCCTAAACCCCTAAACCCCTAAACCCCTAAACCCCTAAACCCTAAACCCTAAACCCTAAACTCTAAACCTCCGCACAACATCCCAAAAGAATGTTTGGAGGAAAGCGGCTCGGCAAAGCTGGAGGTCAACGGCCCGGGCCTTTGCGAGGATGAACGCTTTAGTCACTGTAGGGTCTAGGTTTTAGGGTTTTAGGGTTTTAGGGTTTTAGGGTTTTAGGGTTTTAGGGTTTTAGGGTTTTAGAGTTTTAGGGTTTTAGGGTTTTAGGGTTTTAGGGTTTTAGGGTTTTAGGGTTTTAGGGTTTTAGGGTTTTAGGGTTGTAGGGTTTTAGGGTTTTAGGGTTTTAGGGTTTTAGGGTTTTAGGGTTTTAGGGTTTTAGGGTTTTAGGGTTTTATAGGGGTTTGGGGGTTAGACGGTTTGGATGGTTTAGAGGGGTTTAGGGTTTCGGGTTTTCGGGGTCTAGAGGTTTAGGGTTTTAGGGTTTTAGGGGTTTAGGGTTTTGGGGTGCAGGGGTTTAGGGTTTTAGGGTTTTAGGGTTTTAGGGTTTCAGGGGTTTAGGGGTTTAGGGGTTTAGGGGATTAGGGTGTTGAGGTTTTTTTGGGGTTTAGGGTATAACCCTAAACGCTAAACGCTAAACCCTAAACCCTAAACCCTAAACCCTAAACCCTAAACCCTAAACCCTAAACCCTATACCCTAAACCCTAAACCCTCAGGATTCAGGGTCAGAGTGAGCTTGTTGCGAGCTTCAGTTCGCCAGCAGCCCGGTCAACTCAACCGGCCACCCTGCGACTGCGTCAGATGCCGAGCTCTATCCCTAAACCCTAACCCCTAAACCCTAAACCCTAAACCCTAAACCCTCAACCCTAAACCCTAAACCCTAACCCTAAACCCCCAACCCTAAACCCTAAACCCTACACCACCTGAAGTGCAGATTTTGCAAGCCGGTCCCAGTGGTAGCGATGTGGTCCTGCGAAGCCGGCTGAACGCTCCTGCATCCTCTGCCATCGACTTGTTGTATGCGAAGGAAGCCTGGGATGCGTTGTGGGTTTTAGGGGTTTAGGTGTTTAGGGTTTTAGAGGTTTACAGGTTTAGGGTTTAGGGTTTAGGTTTAGGGTTTAGAGGTTTAGGGGTTTAGGGTTTAGGGTTTAGGGTTTGGGGGTTTAGGGTTTAGGGTTTATGCAAGGCCGGCGGTGTTGCTGGACGAGCCCGCAGTCGGAGTGTTGGCTTCGGACTCCAACTTGTGGAGAACCAGGCATCTCAAGATACGGGCGGGTGCACTTCGTGAGAAGATTGCTCCGTTTGAGTGGGAAGCCCTCCACATCGAGGGCAGAGTCAACACGGCTGACGTGGGTACAAAGGTGCTCACATCTTCAGCGATTCAGCGTCGGCCAGGGCCAGGGCCGTTTGCACAAGCAGGGGTTGGGCCGCATGAAGCATCGCCTCCTTTGGGTGACACTGTCCCTCAAGAACTATGCAAACTGCAACCTGTTCCGGGTCATTGTTGAAAATCATCTCACATTCTTATGAATACTTAAACCCAATAGGGAACAAACATGATGATTTTTAAACGGTGCCCCAAACATGGCGAAGTGTTCCAACAGATGACAACAGATGACAATCCAGCTGATTTGATGACCAAGGCTTGAAGCGAGAGCCCTAAACCCTAAACCCTAAACCCTAAACCCTAAACCCTAAACCCTAAACCCTAAGCCCTAAACCCTAAACCCTAAACCCTAAACCCTAAACCCCAAACCCCAAACCCTAAACCCTAAACCGGCGCGCGAGCGAGCTTCGGCACCGCGCCCGAATTGCTTTTGGGGGGGGGGGGGGGGGGGGGGGGGGGGTTTGGGGGGGAATCATTACTGATCGTTGTCCCTTATGGTCCCTTGATAATTGTACTGTAATCACCCCGAAATCCTGTTCGAATTCTTAATGTACACCCCCAAGCACCGACTGCACCCTACACCCCCAAGGAAAACACTGATTCCTAACCCTAGGCCCTAAGCCTGTATGCAATCCTCCAGCGTCTTGCGGACCGCAATGGAGTCTTGCAGAAATGCTAAACCCTAAACCCTAAACCCTAAACCCTAAACCCTAAACCCCAAACCCCAAACCCCAAGCCCTAAACCCTATACCCTAAACCCTAAGCCCGAAACCCTAAACCCAAAGCTTCCCCCCTCAACGGGCCGCAGCAACAGCTGCTCAGCCCCAAATGCACCGAAGCCCGCACCGAGGTGAGGACCTGTACCGAATCCACGACTTTCCGGAGGACGCCCTGAACCCTAAACCTTCATTCAGGGTTTAGGGTTTAGGGTTTAGGGTTTAGGGTTTAGGGTTTAGGGTTTAGGGTTTAGAGTTTAGGGTTTAGGGTTTAGGGCTTCATAAGGGTTCCGGAGTGTAGGTGTGAAGCCCAAGACCACTGAGGTGGTGGTCCTTGGTCCAGGGCCCCGTAGGGAACAACAAGCCCGCGCGAAGCCTTTGCAACCCTAAACCCTAAACCCTAAACCCTAAACCCTAAACCCTAAACCCTAAACCCTAAACCCTAAACCCTAAACCCTAAACCCTAAACCCTAAACCCTAAACCCTAAACCCTAAACCCTAAACCCTCAACCCTCAACCCTCAACCCTCAACCCTCAACCCTAAACCCTAAACCCTAAACCCTAAACCCTAAACTCTACACCCTACACCCTAAACCCTCAACCCTAAACCCTGATTCCTCTACAAGGACTTCCTCTGTAGGTACTGTCGGGTTTCTCCTGGACACGGAACGCCTTGACCCCTTTAAACCCTCTAAACCCTAAACGCCCCATGAACCGCCGCCGCACCCCTAAGGACCCCAATCCTGAGGGGCTTCGGAATTAGGGTTTAGGGTGGAGGGTTTGGGGTTTTAGGGTTTAGGGTTTAGGGTTTAGGGTTTAGGGTTTAGGGTTTAGGGTTTAGGGTTTAGGGTTTAGGGTTTAGGCCTGCACAATCAAGCCCTTGAGGACGCCGAAGAGGTGTCCGAGCTGCAAGGCATTAGCCTCTTTCGGTCCCACAAGGACCTCCAGTGTTCAGGGCTTACCCTAAACCCTAAACCCTAAACCCTAAACCCTAAACCCTAAACCCCAAAACCTGACAGTGCCCCGGCCAAGCAAACAAAAAAAGCTTTCTACCGCCTTGTGCCTCGGTTCGAAAGCCTGGGCCAAAAGCCCCAAACCCCTAAACCCTAAACCCTAAACCCTAAACCCTAAACCCTAAACCCTAAACCCTAAACCCTAAACCCCAAGCCCTCGGCCCGAATGTTGGCGCCCGAGCATGTGCCCACAGGATGTGGACAGCGAGTTCCCACCAGACACCGACTCCTCAGTTGCATGTCTGCGTTCTGCAAGTTCCCTGAACCCTAAACCCTACACCCTACACCCTAAACCCTAAACCCTAACCCTAAACCCTAAACCCTAAACCCTAAACCCTAAACCCTAAACCCTAAACCCTAAACAGGGGACCCAAATTCAGGCTCCATTGCGCTTCCCGTCTCGTTGGGGCCGTGCAAGTTTCCGGGGTTGAGGGTTCAGGGTTCAGGGTTTAGGGTTTAGGGTTTAGTGTTTAGGGTTTAGGGTTTAGGGTTTAGTGTTTAGGGTTTAGGGTTTAGGACTTTTTTGTTTTTTTCGTCTTGGGCTTGGGGTTCGCGATTTTTTTTTTTGCGGAGGGGGGGGGGGGGAAGTGTTTTCCTTGTTGCGAAGATGGGCCCAAGCCCGGCCTGCAGCATTTTTTGTCTGCCTGGGGTTTCTCAGGGTTCATCCGAACGCCAAACCCTAAACCCTAAACCCGAAACCCGAAACCCGAAACCCGAAACCCTAAACCCTAAAACCCTAAAACCCTAAACCCTAAAGCCCTAAACCACTCCCCCTCCGAAGCCCTTCAGACTCTAAGGTTCTTGGGGTGTTTCCCCTTTTGTTAGCAGTCCTTAAAAGGGATTATGCTACCCCGTATGATAGTCCCTATG